GAAGCACAGGGTCATCCGCAAGTCTACTTAGAGCTTTTCACCCAGGGCAGCAGCACTTCAAATACCTGGGGATCTCGTTACCATGAAGGTTCCGGTGCAGAAGGTCTGAGGTGGGGCCTGGAGTGTTTCTAACAAGTTCCCAGGTGATGCTGGTCTGTGGACAACCTGAGTAGCAAGTGCCTCCTGGATTCCTGTCTTAAGGAATCGCTGGGATTGACACAGCGACCTTCACCCTCGATTTGACAGGTGGGGATGGAGACCCAGACGCTACATAGTTTGCCCAAGACAACTCAGCAAACTAGTGGCACAACTCAAAAGAACCTGGTACATTTTAGCCTGTCTGGGGTCACCTGTTCTACATCAGAAGGGGAGCCAGCAGGCCATGAGTCTGTCTGTGGGAAGACTCAAGCCTCTATTCTTTGCTGACCTTTTACAGTCTATATACTTCTGGCCGTAACAGCAGATACTCTGTGGTATTTGAATCAGAAAGACTTGGAGTGTCTAATGGCAAGACCAGACACATGACATTTTATTCCTTGCCGGAGCTGGGCTGGGTGTATGGTTGCAGATAAAATACAGGACGGTCAGTGAACCTTGAATTCCAGACAAACAGAGAATACTTTTCTAGTATAATTATGCCCCACATATACTTTGAGATATACTTACACTAAAAAAAGTACCTGCTGTTTATCTGAAATGCCAATTTAACAGGTGGTCTTGGATTTTTTATTTGCTAAGTCTGGCAACCCTAACAGGTGGGAATGAGAGACAGGATGTGGTGACAAGAACATTTCCTGCTCAGGGACCTTTCTTGGTGGTGCAGTGGTTAAGAATCCGCCTGCCAGTGCAGGGGACACGGGTTCGAGCCCTGGTCCAGGAAGATCCCACATGCCGCGGAGCAACTAAGCCCGTGCACCACAACTACTGAGCCTGTGCTCTAGAGCCCGTGAGCCACAACTACTGGGCCCGCGTGCCACAACTACTGAAGCCCGCGCACCTAGAGCCCGTGCTCCAGAACAAGAGAAGCCACCACAATGAGAAGCCCGCGCACCGCAACAAAGAGTAGCCCCCGCTCGCCGCAGCTAGAGAAAGCCCGCGCACGGCAACGAAGACCCAATGCAGCCAAAAATACATAAATTAATTAATTAAAATTTATAAATTAAAAAAAAAACATTTCCTGCTTCATCGCTGTTGACCTTAAAGAAAACCCCAAGGACGCCGGCACTGCCCCGAGATGCACAACTTCTGACCTTAACAACTGTGCCCATCTCCTCTTTGAGTTCATCTCTCTGAACAGAGCTTAATCTTCTTAACTAGCTATTATAATGTGAGAGAATCATATATTTACAGCTAGTACTATGAGTTGAACCATGTCCCCACAAAACTCCCATGAATTCCTAACCCCCAGCACTTCAGAATGTGAGCTTACTTGGAGTCAGGGTTATTGCAGATGTAAAGAGTTAAGATGAGGCCATAGTAGAGTAGAATGGGTCCTAATCCAATATGACTGGTGTCCCTTTAGAAAGGGGAAACGGGACGCAGAGGCTACCATGGACACAGGGTAAAGATTGGTGTCCCGCTGCCACAAGCCAGGGAGCATGGCCCTGCTGACACCTTGATCTTGGATTTGTACAATACGTTACATTTCTGTTGTTTAAGCCACTCACCTTGTGGTATGTTTGTCACCACTGGCCTACAAGCACATGCTGGGAGCCGGGAAGAAGACAGGAGAGAAGGAGAGGGAGGCAAGGAAACAGGTAAAAAACCTCATCAGCATTCCCACTGGCTATTTTCTATAGAACTTGAAAACCTCTGCTGAGGGAGGATGAGGGATTTAGAAACAGTAGGTCACGCTGTATGAAAACCGTTACTGCTCTCCTAAAATGCACATTTTAAACACTGAGTTGAACGAGTTACAGGCCACTTAAAGAAGAAACCTTAGAAATCAGAATTGACCCTGGTTACACAAATAGGATCCATTCCCAAGCACCTGCGGCCTTAAAGCGATTTGTGGGGGGAGGGTTTTAAATTCGCAACCTCAACAGGCCTTGGTTATGAACTGCTTCTTTCCCGTGAGAAATCTGCCCTCCTCTGCAACTTATAAACCAAACATCACCACCCTGGGTTTGGTGATCAAGGAGCTCAAAACAAAATTAAACAGGCTACTCTGATTGCACCGTCTCTCTGGATGATTTGCTTGTCCTATTTCAAACAGCCCCTAATGGCAAGATTTAAATAAAAGTCAGGCTATTTAGCAGTAGTTGATCCTCTCTTTCAGTATGGAATTTATGTCCCTTCACCTCTACCCAGGCCTTCTTCTGGCCTGGAGGAGGATTCTAGGGGTAGACTTGCATAGCCCCACCCTAGAAAAATGCCGAACCTTGCAGGCTCCTGTCACACTGCCCTTCCTTCAGTGACTAGCATGCGCCAAGGTGTCTGTGCCTCACTTGAGGCCTTTGCACATGCCGATCCCTGTGCCTGGAACGTTCTTTCTTCTGCCCAGACCCCCTCCCTAAACCCCCCTACACCACCTGCACAGACACTCGGTTCAAAAGGCAGTTTCCCAGAAACACCTGGTCATCACCCTTTGATTTTTCCTTATCACACAACCTTGTATATTTCCTTCACTACGCTTATCACAACTATAATTATTTATTGTTTGCTGTGTATTATCTATTCTCTCCCTAATAAACAGTAAGTTCCGTGAGTCGCAGATCAGACATGTTTTATAATTACTTTATAGTCCGGGCCTGACACACAGCAGGCACAAAAATATTTGTCTGGATTAATCAATTAATTAATTAGTTAAAACAAACAAATTGAGGGCATGATAGGAACTTGGGGGGCACTCCTGCTCAGAAGCTTTGGGCGCAGCCCTGGAGCTTCACGTGAAGCCTTTGTTTCACGTTACATGAGGGGGAAGCGTTTAGGATATCACTTGTCTCCCAATTTCTCTGGGAAAGTCTTTTTTCAGACTAAAAAAAAAAAAAAATCAACCCTCTGGTCATGATCTGGCTTTACAAACAGGCCCTTCCTACAATAAAGGCACGTCCCGCTCACATGAACTTCAACTGCCATGGTCCCCAGGACAACACTTCCTCCTGGTAGCTAACAAAGCAGTGTTGGGCTATGATCTGGCATCCCCTCTAAATCCAGGGACTTCCCTGGCGGTCCAGTGGGTTACAACTCCGCGCCTCCACTGCAGGGGGCATGAGTTCGATCCCTGGTCAGGAAACTAGGATCCCACGTGCCACGTGGCGTGGCCAAAAAATTTTTTTTAATTTTAAACATTAAAAAAAGGAAATTGACTTTGGGCAGAAATGTAATGAAAATACGAGCACAACCTTTGATAGGTGGCTATCTCTTTATCAATTAATAAACTGGCATTTTGGCATTAAAAAAAGAAGCCTATGCATTTTATATTTACCAAAAAGCAGGATTTATGGGTCATAAGAATTAGATGACCGAGGGCATTTTGGCAACACATATATAAAACCTTTAAAATGTATACACTACTCGACCCAGAAATTCCAGTAATAGGAATTTATCCTAAAAAATAATCATGAATGCAGGAAGTCACAAGAATGTTTACTGTAGCACTACAGAAGCTAGAAACATCCAACAATATGGGATTGAATAAGTAACTGCAGTAATCCCTATTAATAAATACTCTGTAGCTTTTCAAAATGTCTTACTGAGTGGAAGAATACTGAAGGACATGGTAAAAGGGTTCAGCATATGCTAACGGCAAAAAACTGGTTATGACTCAGGATTCCAAAAGGCTAACTGTAGTTTTTGGGTGATGGGGTCATGTGCGATTTTTATCTTCTCATGTTTAGCTGTATTTTATAAATTTCCTGTGAGTCATAAATATACTTTGGAAAATGTTTATTTAAAAATAAACGGCAACCAGTCACAAAAGGACAAATACTATATGATTCCACTTATATGAGGCCCTAGAAGAGTCAAATTTATGGAGACAAAGTAGAAGGGTAGTTGCCAGTGGGTGGGGGAGGGGAGAGTGGGGGGTTATTGTTTAAGAGGTCAAGTTCAGTTCTGCCAGATGGAAGCAGTTCTAGAGATGGATGGTGGTGATGGCAGCCTAACACAGTGAAGGTACTTCAATGTCACTGAACTGTACACTTAAGAATGACTAAGATAGTAAATGGTATGTGTATTTTACCCCAATTTTTTTTTTAAACCAAAAAAACTTAAAGAAAAATTTAAATCCGTAAATCATAAGTACAGCTGGGTCTAGAGGTGTCCTAGTTATTAGGATTTTCAAGAGACAGGAGTAGAGAAGGCTGAATTTGACCTTGGACCACACAGCATCAAACAAGACAGTCCGTGTGCCTGCCAGGCTGGCGTGTGCCTGGGGATGAGCTGGTGTTGCCTAGTCTCCTGACTACGGCGCTGGCCATGGCATTTCCTGCCTCTTCCTTCACGAGCGTGGAGTTTTGTCCCTCCCCTGCCAGCGTCCCTCGCTCTGATTCTAGATGAAGGGCCAAGTTGGCTGTCCCAGAGGGGTGACTTCCTCCAGAGCCTGGCTACAGGGACTGCAGGGGCAGGAAAGTACAGGAAAGACTCCGGCCACGTCCTGCAGAGACCATGGGTTGAGGGATTTGCCCCCAGCGACCTTCAGCTAGCCGCTGGTGGAGCCAGGCCAGGAAAGGAATCTGACCTCCAAGTCCAGACAACTCGCCTGTCCACTGCAGAATGAAGAGGGGAGGGCTGGATTCAGTGAAGAACATTCCACCTTTATTCACCATGAGGGCACCGGCGATGCCCAGTTCCTGGAGGTGGACCCGAGAACCTCAAGCTTGCAGAGCCTCGGGCTGAGGGCTAGACGTGGCCCGAAGCTGCATCTTCACAGCAACAGGGAGTTGGATGCTGAGTCTAAATATCTAAAATGATCATACACATACACAGGAAAAGGAAGTTTTCCAAGAACTTTGGGGTTACCAGGGCCCGGGAAAGATAGAGACCAGTGCTTTTCTTACCTGCTGTAGGCACGCTAACATTATACTGAGGTAAAATAAATAGGAAGGCAGTCTTGGCGGTGACCTGTGAAATAGAGGGAAAAAGTTCCACGTTAGCTTCTTGTCCACATCAAAAGAAACAAGCAAAGACTGCTACCAGCCCTCGGGCCACGCCTTTCACGTCTCAGACCCACAGGCCTCTCCAATGAAGGGTTTCACCTAGAGCACAAGTTAGCACCATTTGTTTTTTTCCCATTTTCTTGAATGACATCCCTCCCAATACCTGCACTAAAAGCAAAAGAAACAATCCCAAGTCCTGGATGGCATCTAGACTTGCACTCGCTGCAGATGGAATACAAGGTGTGCTGGCCGGCCGAGAGCTCACCAGCAAAGGGTACAAATCTGCCTGCCATTCATTCATTCATTCAAGTGTTTATCACGTTGGTTCTAAGTCCCCAGCATTGGTGAAGTCAGAAACTAACAGAAGATAAGGTCACAGCCTTCCAGAGATTTCCAGAACTTAGGACCTAGCCGAGGTTCCCCAGCACGCTGGCTAACTGCACCGTGGGCGGCAGCCCGCAAAGTGTAAACCTGAGCCTCAGAAACAGAGAATTCCAGCTGCTAATTTCACATACGCCCTATTGGGGGGCAGAACATAACACGCCACTCTGTTGGTCTGTTTATTTCGAAAGTTGCCTTTCAAATCTCGGTTGTGCTGTGGAAGAACTGAGGTCGTCACTTGGTTATTAGTGGCCAGCTCAGTCCTCTTGCAGTTCAGCCTGCAGGGGGGAGACTACAAGGTGCAGGATTCGAAGCTTGGGCTCAAGAACCGACTGCCTGGGTTCAGACGGTGCCTCTGCATTTGCCCACCTCGCAACCAGGAGCCGTGATCTTACACCTGGAGCCTCACTTCCCGTGTCTCTGAAGGCGGGATATTTGTGGTACTCCAGCTGGTCTGGGTGGCGATGGCCCAGCTGTTAGCATTGTTTCAAGCTCCCCAGATGTTTCTGACGTGCAGCTGGGGCTGAGAAGCGCCCCCACACGGTTCTGGAGCAGGTGCGGAGGCCAGGTGAGGGGTGGCCAGACCCCAGGTCTTTTCTGGGAGGCCCCTGGGGACACCTCAACAGTAGCGTTACTGGTTCTCCTCTAAACAAAAAGATGTGAAGGGTGCACTGTGGGTGTGGAGGAAACGCACTGGACTGTGGCAGAAGCAGCAGAGAAATGGTTGAATGATGCCTTCCAGCCCCTTCATCAAACGCTGTACCATGCTCAAGGCACAATCTCTCCTTCAGTTTTATTCAGGAAACACACTCGTCTTTTAAGCTGGTGGGCTGAAGTGGACCTCTGTGGGGTTCTGGCTGAACAGTACCCCTTTGCCCCTTCCCAACATACCAGGACTTCCAGAGGAGACACCTCTCCCCAGCTGTGTGTTGTGACGGTGTCACTGTGGTGACCACGGCCCTCCCAGGAGGATACAGGGAGCAGACCCTCTCCCCAGCCCATCAGACCCCCTCTCCTGGGCTCTGAATCTTGAGCGGGGATGGAGGAAGAGCTGGTTAGCCCTGAGTGCCTTCCAGACTTTTCTGCTGGGGTTCCCACAGCCTTGCCCTGGAGCACAGACCCCATCACCTGTATGAACCCCCAGACGGCCTCCTGAAGTTGGCCAGAGTCCATTCCTAAGAGACATCAGAATCCCGTGCATAGAGCACATTCGAACCCCTGGGGGAGCTTCTAGAATCTCGATGCCTGGGCTGCCCCAGCCAAATAACCCTGCCCCTCGGGGGCATCAGGGAGCCGCCAAGCTCCCCAGAGCAGCCCACACGTAGCCCAGCCTGGGAGCCCCTCATGGGAGCCCCACCCTCACCAGCCTCACAAAGCAGGCCTCTCTGGCTAGTCACTATCTGTGTCCTCCAGAGAATTCATTTCATTTAATCAACTTATGTTTTAGGTCAATTTTTATTTTAACTTCAAGAGAAACATACTTTTTAAAAAGTGAAACAATTCAGAAATACGTAAAGTTAAAAACCAAATATTCACTCTACGGTCTTGGTTTTCCTCTCTCCACATGTATGGGGTCAGTTCTCTGAGAGCTTTTCCCATGCATTTCTACACTTGGAATTTATTTCATTTTACTCTGACATTATAACTTGGATTGTGTTTATGCCACTTGACAAGAGCTACAACTTTCTTTTCTAATTTTTTTTTAATTGAAGTATAGTTGATTTACAATGTTGTATTAGTTTCTGGTGTATAGCAAAGTGATTCAGCTATATATACATATACACATATATAAACATATACATACACATATATACTTTTTCAAATTCTTTTCCATTATAGTTTATTACAGGATATTGAATATAGTTACCTGTGCTCTATAGTAGCACCTTGTTGTTTATCTATTTTATACAAAGTAGTTTGTATCAGCTAATCCCAAACTCCTAATATATCCCCTTTGGTAACCATAAATTTGTTTTCTACGTCTGTGAGTCTGTTTCTGTTTTGTAAATAAGTTCACTTGTATATTGTAGATTCCACATATAAGCAATACTATATGGTATTAGTCTTTCTCCTTCTGACTTATTTAGTATAAGGGCTACAACTTATTAAATACTATTTAAATCACTTTCTTAGCTCTGTTAATCTAATGGTTGTTACAGGAACATAAAGACCAAGGCACAAAAATATTCAGAGTACATGAAAGTATTCAGAGTATAGTGACACAGAAAACATGTAGGTCAACCTTTCGTTTACTGATGTCAACGTAGAGATAAGTGGTTATATAATAAAAACTTCCTATACATACTAGTGCTTTTCTTTACTGTTTCCCACAGGGTTACCCCTAATGTTTAACACCGAAAAGCTCGGCCAAATAAAACGGGCTCACGGCGAAAGTGTATACAGATGTGTGGGCCTTTTTTTTTTTTTGCATCCTTTCTTTTTATTGAAAAAGATTTTAGAAGATGGCAGTTAATAAAGGGCACAAAAAAAATCACAGGGATATACTAGTGGCAAACATAGACAAGATAAAACTAAGAATGCCACTGGCTTCTTTAATTGGTTAAAAGCACAAAATGCAACAGGCAGAAAGTCTGTTTTAAACAAATTAAAAAGCTGTGTTTCTAGACCTAGAAAACAAACTTATGGTTACCAAAGGGGAAAGCCAGGGAGAGGGGTATAAATTAGGACTTTGGGATTAGCAGATACACACTACTATATATAAAACAGATCAACAACAAGGACCTACTGTACAGCACAGGAAATATACCCAATATCTTGTAATAATCTATAATGGAAAAGAATCTGAAAAAGAATATATAGAGAGAGATATATATATGTATAACTGAATCACTTTGCTGTACACCTGAAACACAACATTGTAAATCAGCTACACTTCAATTTAAAAAAAAGCTGTGGGCTTCCCTGGTGGCGCAGTGGTTGAGAATCCGCCTGCCAATGCAGGGGACACGGGTTCAAGCCCTAGTCCGGGAAGATCTCACATGCCGCAAAGCAACTAAGCCCGTGCGCCACAACTACTGAGCCTGCACTCTAGAGCCCTCGAGCCACAGCTACTGAAGCCCGCGCACCTAGAGCCCGTGCTCTGCAACAAGAGAAGCCACCGCACCACACCGCGCACCACAATGAAGCCCCCGCTCGCCACAACTAGAGAAAAGCCCGTGCGCAGCAACAAAGACCACAATGCAGCTGTGTTGTTGTCTCAATTAGCCCCAAGTCAGATATATAACACCCACAAAAATGGTATGTGAAGTAATGCTGTCCTACACAAGAAGTTGTACCCTGAATTAAGGGAAACAGCTATTGACACAGGAGTTAACACAACAGAGCATCAGCCTGTAACTGCTGGAAGAATAATCCCCCTTTTTCTTAATGAGGACAGCCGTTCGGCATATGGGCTGGACAGATGCCCTTGGCCTGGCCCTGCATATCCAGTCAATTCTTGTTACTCCCAGTCGTTCTGTTCTGGAAGTTACCGTGATCCCAGCGACAAAGGACCCCTGCTCCTAGGGGTTAGGTTCCTAAAGGCCTCTGGCCCATTCCCATCAACCAATCAACATGTAACCTTGGTTTACGTGTGTTCCTGTTGAAAGACGCTGTATGGAACGCAGGCTGTTGAAGTGTGAACACTGAACCTGTGGCTCGCACCTGAAGGAAGCCCTTCTAACACGCGTATGTTCTCCGCCAGGCCCCTCACGGCCTCCCCATGCTCAGGACCCCGAGGCGGCGGCCCAGCACCACGCGTGAGGGCCATCTTATAAGCAGCCAAGTCACTGACAAAAGGCACAAAGATGCAAGAACGTGGCACTAAACAGGTGGCAAAAAGCCACTTGCTCACAGAAGGAGCTGGACCAGGAAGGCAGAGTGTCGCTGGGTTCCCCTTCATCCGGGGACATCTCGTTGGGTGAGCCACACATCTCACCGCCCTGTGCACGTCCACAGATAGCGCAAAACCCGGAGATCAGGTTCTGAGGTCACATATACATGTCAGCGAGCAGCCCCAGTGCACACCCAAGAGGCGCGGGAGAGTGAGGGTCAGCTGCCCTGCGGCAAACCCAAAGGCCAACGAGGGCTGAGGTTTTTTCTTTTTTAACCTTTATTGAGATGTAATTTACACACCATAAAATTCACCCTTGGTAAGTAGACAGCTTTATGCGGTTTGTCTTTCCTCGTTTTTAAACTCTCCCTTCACTGGAATGTAAGTTCTAAGAAAGCGGGGATCTCACTCATCTTGATTAACTTCAACCCACTGCCTGCAACAGTGCCCAGAAACGGCCCGCGCTCGGCAAGCACTTGATAAATGCAGACATGATTAAGCAGGGGAGCCAGTATTGCACTGTCACCTGACCCTCAGCTTGTACTCTGCCCTCATTCACTCCCCTGTGCATGTCCCCTCTCTCTCCCTGGGGTCCGTCCCAGTGCTGGGCACGTTGTAGGTCTCTCATAAATGCCTATTTGATGAGCGAATACTGCAAGCAGCTGTAATATTTAATAACCGCAGATGAATGCTTAACAAATGCTCTCTGAACATGATTCTAAGAGAATAGGACCTGGGACTCTGATTAAAGC